CTGATTGACGCATACATACAAGTATGCTTCGAAACTGATGCACCCGAGCCGCGAACAATCGTTTTGGACAACCTTGCAAACCTCCTAGACAAGATGTTACGGGATACGTCAGGAGAAGGGCCCAAGCATCTCCCCACGAACGAGACCATAACCCAGCTCTGGGCCGACCTCCACGGAAAACCTACGAATCCAAGTCTATCAGATGCCATTATCCGCGTAAGCGGTTCATTCTTAGCAATTATATTCTTGCAATCTAAGGGAGTAGCTCAAGATAACCTAGACCCCTGGCTTAGGTCCTGGGGCGCGATGATGAGCGACGCCGGGATGGCGGACAGGGCAAGTCCAACCTCCTAACCCACCGTAACCCATGCAACACTAACAATCGCATCAACGCAGACATTCGACACCCGCATGGCAGCAGTCAGCGCCACACGCTCGTTCTCCACAACCGTCGCCCCCACCCTCACCTCCGAAACGGGGTCCAACCCAGCCCACCTGCCATGGCTGCTAGCCCTATACGACGCCCTCAACGACGACGACGACGAGATCCGCGCCGCAGCCGCGTCCGCCACGGCCCCCTTGCTATCGGACCAGCGGCTCGTGTCCGTGGAAGCAGCCCGACGGCTCCCGTGCTGGCTCCTCGCGCGGTACAGCAGCGCCGCCGAGTTCCGAGCGCACGTGGCGCGCCGCATGGCCGGGCCCTCGCCCACCAGCCGTGGCGGCGGGGACTGGGCCCCCGCCGAGGCGCAGCTGACGGACGCCATGCGCTTCGACGACGCGCTGTTCGCGGTCGAGGAGCAGAACCTGTACGTAGACGAGGTGCGCGAGTCGCGCCGGTGGCGCGGCGTGTTCTCGTCGCTCCCTCCGCCCCCTCCCCCCGCGACGCTATCCGCGTGGACCCGAGCCGGGCTACAGGCGCTGGGCCGCCTCCTCGCCGCCCAGCGGGACGGCCCGCTGGGCTGGTCGTCCAAACCCGAGGTCTACGCCATCTGCGCGCGCGTCCTGGTCAGCGGGGCTGCGCTCGCGGCGGCTGGGGACGTGGAGGTCGGGGGGGAGATGCGGAAGTTTAGGGATGTGGGGAGGAGCACGGGGGTTCACGGGTTGTTGTTGGCGATGTGTGATGGAGTGGAAGGTAGTTAGCAGCATCAATGCACATATCCTTAGTTAACATTCGTAGTTTCTTCACCTAGACATCATGAATTCACACATTTCGTTCTTCCGTTTCCAATTTCAAGAGTGGTTCGCAGTTTTTGTCCTCTCAATGCTAATGCTATAGTACATTTCGTAACCTCGTTAATTTCTTCATCTCGTATGCTATCCAGCGGCAGACCCAAAGAGAAACGCCGCAATGGGTACGGTAATTCTAGGTAATGAGCTTGCGCTCAACCCCTTTTTTTTGCCAATTCGACTGTTTGGCCACCCTAATCAATGCAATTCGTGTGCTGGCGTTAGGTCTAGCTTAGCCTGACCCGTCGTCGTAAGGTATCGTACGTGCTCGCTCGCTTCCTCGTACATGTAAACGCTTTTTTCTCCTGGGGAAGGGGGCCTGTTCATTTTCCCGTCACTGCCATAATCGGGTTGACACCCACCTAGCCAAACGCTCTCTCCCCGGCTTACAGCACAGAGCAGCACTACGACTGCAAGCTATCCACCCTCCTCGCCTCGCGCTCCGGCATCTGTTCCGTCATGGCCCTCTTAAGCCCAGGGGGAGGCGTCATGCTTCCGGTCGTGATCCCGCCGTCCAGCGATACGCCCTCGCGGCCGAGCCTCGCGACAAGCATCGTGTTCTGCGTCTGTAGATCGCCGACTTGTTCCTTCAGGATCTGCATCTGCTTGCGCGCGATGTCGCGCTCGGCCCGGACTTTATCCAGTTCCATTGTGATGTTGGCCTTCTCTTCCCTCTCGAGTGCCTTTCTACGGCGGTCCTCTGCCTTCTTCTGCTCGTTCTCGCGTTTGGCCTCCAGCTTCTTCATCTCTCGCTGGTACTTCTCCTGCTGCTTGGCTACCTCGCGTTCGTGTTTCTCGCGCAGTTTCTGCAGTGCCGTCTCCTCGCGCTGGGAAGAGCCAGCATCCGATATGCTGCCTCTCTTGGCAAGGGCCTTTTCTTGTGCTCGCTGCAGCTTTTCCTCCGTCTTGCGCTTACGCTCTTCGAGCTTTCTAAGGTCTTTCTCGTGCTGCGATGGCGCGGTCGAGCGACCCGCGAGGGAGTCGGTGGAGCGCGTAGATTCCGCGCCGCCGTTTGTGACCGAAGGTGTGAGCTGTGCTGAGCTTGCTCCCGGCTTAGATGACGCGTTGTCATTTTCTTCAATCCTTTCGGCTTCTAGGCTATGAAAGCTGTGGATCGAGGAATCGTCATCCCCGGAGGGCTCGGAAAGGTCGGATGAGTCCATGGCATCATCGTTGGCGGGTGCAAATTGGTAGGAGATGCGAGAAGCTGCCGCCGAAGCCGCGGATCCCAGAGCATTTGCCATCATTCCGTAAAACCCAGTAGGGTTTGGATGTGCCTGTGCCTCATCTTTTTCATCGATGGCTGATAGCAGTGGAGCACTCGGAGATCTCGTAAGATTCGAGGTAGGACCTGTTGAGGCCGACTTCGCGAGAGCTAGACCCTCGGCTTTTGATGCGTCATGTTTGAGCTTCGTGTCTCCGCTGTCGGATTCGATGAAGTCGCTAATAGGCTTGGATGTTATCCATTTGACAAATTTCATGGCGTCACCGGCAATACCAGGCGGTGTACCCCTTTCGATCATGAAGCGCGGCACACTACCGCCAGGATCACTTCGGGTAACCATTAGCCATTCGACCAGAGTCTCATAGTCTTCATCATTGCCCTCTCTATCGTCTCCTATGTCTGCATGCCCAATGGTCTTACCCCGTTTCCTTCCATCTTCGTCCCTAGTCGGAGAGGCAGAGTGCGCTGCTTGGTGGGCCGAGCGGATTGTAGCCTGCCTGCCAATGTTCTCTGCAGTATTTCGTCTCGATGCTGCAGCCTCATCGTTGGGCAGATCTATTGATGACCGAGTCTTCCGGAGAGGCTTCTCTACTCTGATCTCGCGAATAAATTCGACTGACTCGTACTGACCGCGGATGAAACCTTGGCGAGGTGGACATTCCACATGAATGCATGGCTTCGAGACGAGCATGAAGTGTTTGGGTGTACCGGGAGCATCGATGGCTGAGTCGGAGCTTATTAATAAAGTAATAAAGTCTCGTGGCGTCGTCGGTCCCGGAAATTGCGCCGACAATTGGTAGACTAGTCCAGCCCGTCGATTAGTTCATTTCTTCAACATGTCTTAGATTGGCGGTAAAACAGTAAAACTTACCCTGCATCTTACCACGGCCCTCAATAGTCTGGTTCACGACTTTTCTGTCGGCCCCAATTCCCCTTATACTCCCATCACCGGGCTTTCCCTGCACCTTCATGCTCTCGTCGAGCTCGTGTTCCATGCCCAATTTCCATTTTTCAAATGTAAGGTTGTCATGGACACTACGTCTTGCAAACCAAGCACCCTTTCCATCCTTGGCGGCTAGTTTGTAGACGTCTACTCCTAGGGGGTTCTCTCGCGGGTTGACCTTGGCCTCTTTCCACTCCTTCCTGAGTTCCGCCGCACGGTCTGACGATTTCGAGGCTCTACTACACAGCGAGGGGAGATTCGAATCAGTGGCGGACCGCGGCCTGCCTACTTTCTGCGAAGAGGCCGTGGAGGAGGCCGGGATAGAATCGAGTATACATTGAGCTTCGCTAAATATTTCCTCAAGAAATGTGTCGAGTCTGTCGTGGGCGATGTCATCCCAATTGATAGGAGCTAGGGCCTTGAAGGCCTCATGGGCGCTCGGCATAGTCGGATCCCCTTTTCAGTACCAATCTAGTGATCCGGTTAGGAATTTGGTTGTAGGTATTGAGAATCGAGATATAACGTAACACCTGTGTCTTAGGTGTATGTAGTGGATCGTCGAGGAAATAGCTAAGAATCCATAAGATGGTCGTGGTGATTACGAATTCAACTTGAGGATTCCATTTTTTTTTTTGTGTGAGGGGATGTTAGGGGAAAAGGATAAGAATAATAATCTATAGGATCCAGAAGAGTTGACTAAACAAGGTGGGAATAAAGAGGTGCCCAGACAGACAATAGAAATCAAAAGAAAAGGTTGAATGTTTTCTAGAAAATCATGAATATTGGAGATCCGAGGTTCCCAAGCTTATCTTGGCCTTCCTTTAACTTCTTTAGCTGGGATTTTACCTAGGTAGTTGTGTATTTACAAGGGAGAGGCCCATCCAGTTTTTTCGGAACTCATGGAATATCCTTGACGTCACGCTTGCATCTGAAAGCCTGGACCCTTGATTCATCTTTACACGTACCTTTGTACCTAGGTAGACTGGTAGATAAAAAAAGAGGGATGGAAACAATCTCATAAATACATACCTAGATATTGCATATGAATTGCTACCATGTTTATTAAGGATTCGTAACAGAAGGACTTAACTATTCCTCCCATGAAATGTATCAAGTGAGTTCTATACACATATACCGTATTCTTTGATCTCTACTCTGAGGAACGTCATTTTCGATACTCTTGAGAACAAGGTCAACCCCACTAAATCAGGCACAGTACCTGAATGATCAACACCATAACAAGAATAGCGAGTACGACTGGTTTTTGATATCGCACAAGCTATCTAGCCTCACGTCCAAACTGTTGTGAATATACCAATCGGGTCTGACCTCGAACGCTTAGTACTTACTGCTGTAGTGTAGGTAGTGTACACTACCCGTCTATTAGTGTGAAGACCCGAACTGGAATCATACCTACCTTAGAAACATCCATCCTTTAGATCCCATTGGCTGTAGAATTTCCGCACTGCTTAGCACTAACACGGCAGCTGCACGGTAAAATATCGGATATAAATTTACTATTCCACATTGCGACCGTAGGATTCATAACGCAAAGCAACGCGCAGCCTCTCTAACAACCGATCGCCTGTAAACAGACGAATGAATGCTCGGTTAGCTCAGCTGGTTAGAGCGTCGTACTAATATCTTCAAAACCTTGGACATATATAGTAATGCGAAGGTCATGAGTTCAATCCTCATACTGAGCACCATACCTTTTTGTCATTTCATCGTTGACACACTTGAGTGTTCAATGATGTTCTTTTTATTGACACAGATTGATCATATCGTACATATCTATCTGTCTGTATTAAAGTTATCGATTTTGAATTCTTATGACACTATCTACAATAAGTAATATCTTCAAGACTGAATAAGGAAACTGAGACTTGAAACGATGTCCGTCCCTACCGCATCGAAGATTAAACAATAAATAAAATAATTATTCTTCAAAACATATCCGAACACTTCCAAAATAAGACCATATCTAACTAAGTAACAAACGAACCCTGGGTATCCATACTATTCATACCTATTTACCCCCTACTACAACTAAACAAAATACTACTTACTATGATGCACCAAACACATATGTATAATGCAACTTTTCCATCCCATCTGACTATGTATTTATTTGTATTACTCATTCATTCAACCCCCTATGCCCCGCGAGGAGCTCTTTTTAAACATATACCTCTCTCCCTCCCTATTCACATTTTCCGCTTTCAAACGTACTAAATAAACCCCCCCTCCCTCCCTCTTCTTTCACATCTACCAAGCCACCGCCCCGACAGCCAAGCTCTCCCTCTCCCTCTCCCGCAGCAGGTCCTCGCGGTCGGCTTTACAGCTGCCGCAATACTCCTCATGCCAGACCTGGAGGTTCCTCCTCTTGGCCTCGTCCCTAGCGCCGTTCCTCGCCACCTTCTGCGCCTCCTCCCCGTCCCGCAGCAGCGCGCCTTTCAACCCGGCGTTGTCCGCGGCCCCGTCCCACGCCGCGAGCGCGGCCTCGACCTGCCCGCACCTGTGGTTCTCGTCGAGGAGCCAGTTCTCCCACTCGGCGTGCATCATCTCGCGCTCCACGCTGTTGACCGTGCGCATGGCGACGAGGAGGTCGTGCCGGTACGCCCCGAGCTTCTGCCGCGTCTGCCGGAGCCGACGAGCCGTCGCCCGGCTCGAGCCCCATGATAGCGACGACCCCGCCTGCTCGTAGGGCGCGTCCGCGTCGCTGGCGTTGGCGATGGACTGGAACGTCGAGTAGCAGTAGCTGTCGCTCGGCCACGGCGGGGTGGCGCCGGCGCCGGCGGAGCTGCGCGCCGCCTCGTCCAGGTCCGCGATGTATATCGCCTTGCTCATCATCACGTTCGGGCCCACCCCCACCCGGTTCATGAAGCTGGCCGCCCGCCGCTCGCTCCACCATGTCGACGTCCCTTGCGACGAGAACAGGATGTTCGTAAATATGCTGAAGCCGAGTAGGGCGAGGATGATCCACTGTGCCGTGACTACATCCCACAGTTTCTTCACTGCTGCGAATGCCCACATCATCAGCGACGATGCGACACTATCGGCGAAGGATCTGATGGTCTCGAGCAGCATCTGCCCCAGTGTCCGCGGTTTGATCTGAGGCTTCTTCGTTATGTCGGCTTCTCCGGGTGTGAAGACTAGGACTTGCGTCTGGAGCCCCACATTTCCATAGACTTGGATCGCCCTCTTCGTTCGGCTGTGATGCCCGAGCTTCCGGACTTGATCAGTTGCCACCTCAGCGAGCTCTTCAGCATCTTGTCCGACATCGTCGAGCGCTTGCCGCTCCACAATATTCTTGGCGAGAGCGGGTGGCTTTGACCACGCCACCTTTGTGAAGATAGCAAGCTTGCATTTGGACTTGGCGACGTGAGTAATAACGATCTTGGTCACCAACTTAAACCCATGTGCGTGGGGTAGATGCCACGGAATTTTCACATGCGTAATAACGTAGGTGACATGATCGCTGAATAAATCAATAGTTTGATCATCGACAAACTCCTCTGCCTTCGTGCGACCTAGCCTCGTTGTGGAGTTGACACTAAACCGAAATTGCCTATGCATGTGCCCAGCATCATTTAGCTTCCAAGGACCCTGAGCGACGTTGAGGGCTCTTCGTTCAAAGTAGAGCTTGGGGAAGACGAAGCTCTTGTCTCCGAACAAGACGTGGAAGCATGCTTTGGCGCTGATTTCAAAATTCCGCTCGGCGACCTTCCTCTGCATATTTTCAGGTTCGTAGATCACTGGATGAGTTGGGAGTTGGAGCTTCGGAGGTGGCTTCCGTGAGTGTTTGTGTCGCGACCTGTAGTTGCCATGGCTCCTAGGGCTAACCGGTCTACCCGCCGCAGTGCCGTCATCAATAGGGGTATGCTCCGAAATTTCCTCCCAGCTGTCCATACTAGGACTCTTTCTGTCGGAATCTTCCTTCTCTAGATTGATGAGCGCTCTAATAAGTTCGGTCAGATCCATAGGCTCTTCGGCCTGTAGGTCATCAACCAAAAGGTTCAGACGCGCATGCAGAAGATCAAGGTCCTCGAGGAAGGTTTTGATGGTAACTCGAGTATATCCGATGACATCTGCACCCTGGTTCAAATGGAGGAAGATGAAATCGCAGTCTCTACCAGGTGCAGCTGTGACTTCCGAGATGGTGTCGAGACTAATCGTATATGTCACGACAAGGCCCATCTGGTGGCCGTAGAAATACATATTATCTGAAGTAACGTAGATTCGTCCGTTGCCAGCCATTGTGGGCACCTCACGATCGGCTGCCGCATCGCTAATCCAAGCAGCCCGAAAGACGAGAACCAGTTTTTCATCTAATGGCACGCCTGGGAAAAGCAAACGGAATTGTGCTGAATTCGTCTTCAGTTCTATAGGGTAATCGAGCGGGAAGGTCTCTGGTGGCGGTTTCTCCGTGGTAGGTTGAACAATCTTCGGGTGGTTTATCCTAGCATCCATGCTGATAGCCTTCTTGTGCGAAGATGGGCTTTTGACCTCTTCACCTTCGCCGATCGTAGTCATCTTGATAGTAGGCGAGTTAGGCCCAAATGGATCATCGAGTTCTACATCGTTCCGGCGAGCCTTGGTCGTATATTCTTGGCCCCAGGCAGTGCTTCCCCAGTAGTTGGCCAAGATCGCAGTTGGTAAATGTTGCGAAGCAGTTGAACTAAATACTCGATCGCCACTATAAACAACAGCCGTCTTACTAAGACTGGTCATTGCCGGTGGTCTCGCCAAAGTTGAAGGTGCTAGACTGCCGGCTTGCGCTTCAGGGCCAGGCAATACCAATCCCTGTTGTTGCTTGGGGGCCGCCACGACGTATCCTGGTAATAGACCTTGACTAGCAGATATAAGACTAGCGATACCCCCATTAGGGCCCGGTGGCGGCACAACTCCCATGTCCATTCCTGAAGTGAAAGTAGCCTTCCTATGGAGATCGAGTTTCTGCATGATTCTCGCTGCATGCTCTCGTCCACTCTCACCTTCCTCGCGGGCTAGGGACGTCACAGACCGTTTTGGGGGTGCCGTTGTAAGATCAAAGCTAGGTCTAGGTAGAAGTCCACCTTCAGGTCCTGGAACTGGTAGATTTGTAGTCCGCTCGGAACTTGGCCCATCCTCGATCTGGGCGTCTAATGCTTTGGCAGAGAATTCCGGAAGCGAAGGTGGGGTGATAGAGAAGGCTGGATCGACACCGCCTGGTAAAGATGAATTGTCCCTGCTAACGCTAGCTTCGAACGCTCTCTTCTTTGCAACCTCAAAAACCTCGAGCCATTCCATCAATTGAGCTTGTGTCTCGGCCTGGAGTAGCAATGTCTGGTTCTTGGTTTTGACCTCGAAACAAAACCGACGTTCCTCTCCCACAGCGGGTTTTGCATTACAGAGAAGGACGCCGATCTCATCACCTTGCAAGACTCCCTGAGGACAATTTACCAGCCAGCCAAAGATACCATCTCTGCAGTAGTACCATCTTCGAATCCAGTTGGTTCTAGATGGCTTGCCAGTTATTGTCCGTAGATACAGCCAGCCTTGTTTTTCCGATATCAGTGCGGATTGTCCCGCAGTGGGAACGTTCATGGGACCTCTGGATCCTAAGAATGGAACGGTCGATGAGCTGTAGTCGTCAATCTCTCGCGAGGGTTTGAAGGCCGCTAACGTGACCTCTCCAATATCGCGGCGTGCTATCTGCAACTCTCGTTTGAATGTGGGCTCGGATAGTTCCATTTCCTTGGACCATCCTCTCACCCGATCCATCTCATGGCCAAATTTCCCGAAACTTCCTTGGGTATCTCGCGATCTTTTCATCTCACGCCAGAGATCGTAGGACACCTGCACGATTAGTTTGTCGAGGTTGAGTCGGAACTGGGGTGCATAGAAACAGAAGTCCATGGACGCCTTTAGGTAGGCTTTGCGAGTTTCGTATACAGAGAACGCGTCCTCGCGTAATGACGAGGGCTCCTTTGCTTTAGACTGGCTCACGTACCGAGCCAATGTGGTATCGAAGACCTTCTGTGTCTGTTCCAATGTCCTCTTGGCCTCCTTAAAGTTCCGTAAATCGCCTTGGAGGAAGTTCCGAATCGGCTCGACCGACATTGTATCCATCTTCCTAGCAGCGTCCAAGAGCTGGACCCACCATTCTCTCGAGCCCTCACTGAACCTCTTAAGCGCCAGTGCGGCATAGTCATTGTCGACAGCATTGATATTCGGGGGAGGGATGGTCTTGGCGAGGTACGTATAAATAGTCTCCTCCAAGCCTAGCAAATCATGTGATAGCTTAGCAGTTGTCCTCACATAGCTTTCTAGCCAGCGCTCGATAGCATCTACTTGTTCGGCGAAGTATAGGGCAGAAGCTCGGAATGAAGGTGAATCGAGTCCTGCTTCATGGAGAAAGACTGGGACGGAAGGGCTCGCATGCTTGGTCGGAAGAGGTGCTGGCGAAGGCGCCGCCGCAGGGGCAGCGGTGGCCATCTTTTCGGTTGACAGGTTGGAGCTCAGTACGGCGGTTTGAGTATTGGATATGAATATCGCATTGAGTTACGGGATTGGCGTTTCAGTAAGATGTAAGTTAATTAACATTAGACTTGCGTAGTCTCGCGAGTCTCTGCGGCTGTGTTCGTAGCGTGATTTCTTGTTTAATTGGGATAAGCTCAAGCTCTCGACTCGATTTAGACGACAATACGACCTTTGTCGTTAG